TATTGAGACCAATGTTTCTATTCAGCGTAACTACTTTTTCCCAAAGAATCTTCAACACTACTAAAATCGACTTCTCAAAAAACGATTTAAATTGCTCTTTAGGTGTCGTCATTCCGTGCATGTGATGCTCGACGAAAAGGCCTCGATCGAACCTTATTCGGCCATGTAGCGGTCGTGTTCGTGGACGAAGTGCAGCCTTTCCTGACCGGTTGCGTGGCTCTGGACAATCAGGTTCGGTTTTTTTCAAACTTTCTATTTTTTAATTTGTTCACTGGCAATGGTAGATTTTCTTCTCTCTTTCTCCTTTATGAATTTCCTTTTGACTTCATTGGAAAGATTTCAGTGCGTCCTTCTATGCAAAAAATCTTTCTATGTCCATATATAAAGACATTCTGTAGCAGTGGGAAAATACCTGAGCGTGTTCTTGATTCAATTTGAGCTATCAATCAATTACTGAGGAAATTTTTGGGATGAAAGGATAGTCTATGTATGCCAAAAAGCTCAGTTTGGGATAAGTTCAGAAAATAAAGCAAGCTCAAAGTCCAACCAAGGATGGATCGAGTCGGGGGAATCCTTTTGGTGGAATAAAATAGAGCTGTTCTAGAAGATCGCGGATGTCTCGTTTTCCCGGCCCCAAACTGCGCGAAATTGCGCTAAGCCCTTTCAAAGGCCGCTTCTACCGCTTCCAATTTTCTCGTCTGCAGCGTTATGGTGTTTGCGGTCTCTCATCCGTCGTGCTTTCTCGCCTATCCTCTCTCCTCCATACTCAATCTCTCTTCTCCAAATACAATAGTAAGGAATAAAGTGTGAAAATCAAGATCTAATAGCGAGTGCTGTGTAAAAAAATTAACGTGGTCCGTTTCGCCTCTCAATCTTACAGAGCGTGATCCCTTAGCTTTAGCGCTTTCGACAGTCCTTTTCCATTTTTTTCTACTGCCGATCTACTTCTTCCCTATTCTTCCATTTCCATGTGCAAGTACCACAATAGTCGGTTGTGGACTGTGCCTTTAAATCTAGAAATTTGGAGTGTAATGTCACTCTATTAAAGTTTTCAAGAATGATTGGCTTGCCAGGATTGCATTCTTCTTTGAATGGCAGCGTC